AAATGGGAGCAAAAACAAAAGTGTTGCGTTTATATTTTTGTTCAGTGTAGTTCTGACATGTTAAATTACAGAATCATCCAACATTATGCCCTTACATTTACATTTTTAAAAGGAAAAAGAACAAGTGTGTGCATTTATAGTAGTGCATCCCTGCTGTCATCTCTCAGGCCTCAAAGTATCGTGTCTTCTTCTCCTGCATTAATGTCTCATGTCCTCTCACTCTGCAGGGAGTGGTTCTTCCTGCTGTCTCACGAGGTGCTGAACCCCATGTACTGTTTGTTTGAATACGCTGGCAAGAACAACTACTGTCTGCAGATCAACCCAGCCTCCTCCATCAACCCCGACCACCTCACATACTTCCGCTTCATTGGACGCTTCATCGCCATGGTGAGCTTCACTTTAGAATAGTTTTAGTAAAATCATACTCGGGATTTGGCAAGCTCTTTAAAACTGAACTACAATTGGCAACACCTGTGTTTTGCTGTTTTTACTTTGACGCTGTTGAGCTTGCTTGCCAGTGTAGTTTTTTTTTGTGCTTTTGTAACAGAAAATGCTGCTTCAAACACATTTCTGCTGACATGTATTGTAAAATCTAGCTTTCAACAACATGTTTCATTTTCGCTGGTGGTTATTACACCTGAGCAGCCTACACAACTCAAAATCCATGTCTTTATTTCAACATTTAGTCAAGTGGACTCCTCCAAAAACATCAATTTGGGAAGTGTTACTGCCTGCAGAGGTGCCAACTGTAGCACTTTTTTATCAGAGCAGCTGTTTACTGTGCACCTTTCAGCCACTCTCCACCAACGTCCGTGTTAAGAATATGATAGCAGTTTAAATAACACAATACACAATAAAACCAAATATTGAGTTATGATGGAGGAGGATTTAACATATGAGAGAGCTGCCTGAGTCACAGAGCTGTTGTGTGTCTGTCAAAGGGTTTTGTTAAAGGGGACGTAATATGAACCGTTTTTAGTCATTTTAATCTGAATGCTCATTCAGTACAGTTTGACATTTTGACAAGATTTATTGGATCTCAAAAGTTAAATGTGTCTGACCTTTCATTTTGATGCCATTTACATGCACAGCAAAATTTGAAGCATAATGTGATGACAGCACTAATCCAAGTCATGTGGAGCCCATTTAAACAGCATATTCTCATCATATATAACTGATTTTGCTCAGTCCAACATATTGTAACATGTAACATATTTTAGTCACACTATAGAATTTTCTTTCATGTATTATCAGTGTTAATGTTACCACTGTGATGTCATCCATTGTTTTGTGGACTCCCATTCTGAAGCCTCAAGTTTGGCATTTTGGCCATCACCATCTTGGTTTTTTGGAGCCACAAGTGACCATATTTGGATGACAGGGTGGTGATGACCCTAACACTAGCTGCTAGCTTGGTTAGCATAGTCCATTTACAGCTATGGTTAACTTTTATAATACTAATGCTAATGCTAATTTTTGCTAGCAAAAGCAGGCTTCGAAGCATTATAAAGAAACATTTACTTACCAGAAAAACCTAATATCCCATTCCTTGTAGCGTCTTTTAGTTCAAACAAATGCTGAACGGGACTTTTTTAGTAGACCAAAATGTTACAAATAATTTTCATGAACTGAAACACTGAACACACTGAAATAGCGACAGCTATGTCCACACCATTAGTTGGGGGTTACGCCATGGTTATTTTACATGATCAACATTGACCAACCTTGGTAGCAACTTTCTAATAGATGGCACTCAAATGTCATGAATTGTCATGAATGTTGAAGTTGGCTTTAGAGACCAAAACTGTTTTCTTTTTTTGTTCCAGGCTGTAACAGCTGTAACACGTTTATTTCTGCTGTGAAGTTGGGCATTTTAACATGGAAGTCTGTGGGGATTGACTCTGTTTTTGAGCCAGCCTCTAGTGGCCATTCAGTGAAGTGCAGTATTTGGCTCCTCTACATTGGCTTCATTTTTTAGATCCAGAGGTTTCCGCTTGGTTTAAACCAACATTGTCTATCAGAGACTTGTCTGCATTTTGTGACACACTACCTGCAGTGCTTCATCATTCATATTGGACTGTGTAACTGGTGAGACTCTTCAGACACTGCAGCTTACAGGATGCTACAGCTGCAACTAACAGTTATTCCCATGGTTGACGTGTCGACTAATTGTTTTCTCAATCAGTTGTTTTATTTTTAAAATGTCAGAAAGTACTGAAAGAGTCCCATCACAAATTTAACTGTTGTTAAACTCTGTTCAGCTCTTGTTCTGTCAGAGTCCAAAACTGCAAGATATTAACTTTGCGTCATTAAAACAGAGCAACAACCAAATCTCACATAGGAAAAGCTGAAACTACAAATTACTTGACATAAAATGACTAAATCAGTTGATTGAATATCAAAATAGTTGCTAGATAATTGAAGGAGCTGCACGGAATCAGATAAATGTCCTCAAGTGATGTCACTTGAGTCAGCGTCAGTTAGTTCTGATGAATACAAGGTAGAAAATGAAAAAAGAATTGGAGGAAGAAGTGAGACCTCTGTAGCTCCTCATCTCTGCTGCAGGCAAACAGCAGTGCTACGCCAGCCTCTTATAGCCAAACACAACCGACTTGCTGACTGATCTGTCAGCAGTTAAGTTGTACTGTGGACTGTGCATCGTGGGTTTCTTTGACAAGAACAACGCATGGAATAAAATAGTTGGTGTCTGTGGTTCTAATACATTGATTTTAATCCTTTTTCCTAAACTGCCTATTGTGAGTCCGACAGTGTGATGGCAGTGCTATGTTAAATCTGTACTGACAAAACCATGAAACCAGTCATTTCAGGTTTGAGGTTGAATTCTGCACAGAAACTCTGATAATGTGCAGGAGGCATATTCACACTCCATTTAGTGGAAACAGAAATGTGATTAGAGATTCATGTTTTTATTAATTTTATGTGCATGTAAACAAGTTGTAGGACAGCTGGATCCAGAGATTTTTTTCCTTTTAACGATCATCACAGACAGAAACATTTTGTCCACACGTGTGCTTTTTTTTGGACATTTTGCCTTTATTTGACAGTGACAGTAGAGATACAGAAAGGGGTGCAACATGTAACAGAGGTCCCTGGCTGAAATTATTCCCTATATGATTTCATGTGACAATTACAACTGACTAATTTTTTTGTTATGAGGATGCACACAGTTGAATATTTTTTAACATTCAGTATCTTCACTGTATATAAATGATCTACAGTATGTACTATAATGTCTTTCTCTCTCTGGGATCAACTCCAAAAAGCTGTAGGTCCCAAAACCGACACCCCCACCCCTCCTTCCGTCTGCCACCCCACCCCTCACCCACACCATGACCTCACTGCCGCACCCAGCCCACACCCGCCAGCAGCTGCCTATATTTAGTCCTAAAATGCGCTTTTCTAACTTCCCTTATAAAGATGCTTGTCTGTACCAAGTCTCAACTACCAAACCCTTGTACTGCCTCATTTTCTTTCTCTCTTCTTTACCTTTTTTACTTTCCGTCTTTACTCTTCACTTTCCACTGACACTCTCCTCTGTCTATAAATCTTCCTGTCTAACTGTGTGTGTGTCGCTGGCTGTGAGACAGACACATGGTCAGTCAGGATACAGTAGGACAGAGCAGACTGACTGAGTCAGTCAGTGGGCGTCTGTGTTGTTCTTGGCTCATCATAGCCCTGAGCCCTCTGTGGTTTTTTAACATTAAACAGCTCCATCTGGCTAGAGTCTGCTCACTCTCTGTGAACACACAACAAAAGCAAAGATTATGACTCGGTTTGAAGCAGTTTGAATGTATTTGTGTTAAGTGCACACGAGGATTTCAGTTAGCTTAGTGTTTTGTTTCTGAATCTTAATTTAAGTGACTCCTCATAGCTCTCACCATGAAAATAAGGATAAAGGGTACAGAATGTGTCACCAGAATAATGTTACAGTCAAATGTTCACATGGCAGCAGCTCCAATGTCAGTCCCCTCTGGACCAATCAGAAACAAATATATGCGTCACATATATGCGTCACTCTCTGCAGCTGTGGTTATAGAAACATGCACAAATTGAGCCTTTGTGTGGTTTTGTCATATATATATATATATATATGTATGTATATATATATGTGT